AAAAACCCTACCCCCCCTCCATGTCTACGTCTCTCTCCGCTGATAGAAACAAACTCCGTATACTCCTACTACACAAATATGACATAAACTTACAGAAAACAAAAACACGATTTTACTCTCTGGCTAATAAGGCAAACTCACTCCTAATTAAAACGATTAAACAGAAACGCCTTAAAGCTAAAATTACCTCTATCCGACACCCTACAACACACGAGTGTTTTACGAACCCACAAAATATATCGGAGGCCTTTGCTGATTACTACAAGACACTATACAATCTTGTAGATGACCCAAATACATCTCAACCAACACCCACACTAATACAAAAATTCCTCAACAATTTACATCTTCCTCACCTTACATCCTCACAACTTGAATCCGTATCTTCCCCTATAATCCTAATGGTAATAGAAAAAAACATTCGTTCCTTGCCTCTCAACAAATCCCCAGGTATGGATGGCTTCACTAATGAATTTTATAAAACATTTTTGCCCCGCATTTAACTCCCTATCTCTCCACACTCTATAACCATGTAGCTGAAATGGGCACCTTTCCGAAAGAAATGCTAATGTCCATAATAACTACAATTCCAAAGCCAGGCAAAGACCCCCAACTGACCCATAACTATAGACTGATTTCATTGCTAAACACAGACATCAAATTGTACGCCAAAATAATAGCTCAAAGACTATTGCCTTTTCTCCCCCTACTAATTCACCCGGATCAAGTAGGATTCACCCCCGGCCACCAGGCACCCGATGCCACCAGAAGACTATTATCTCTCCTCCACAAACTTGACTCCACCAAACAACCCTCTATATTCTTTCCCTGGATGCAGAAAAAGCATTCGATCGTATACACTGGCAATTTATGAAGTCAACACTACAAAAATTTGGAATTGACGGTTGGATGCTCTCCGCAATCCTCTCGCTCTATTCCCACCCATCGGCCAGAGTATTGACCGACGGCACACTGTCCACACCCTTTAAAATATCTAATGGTACGAGACAAGGATGCCCCTTGTCCCCCATAATATTTACATTACTCATTGAACCTTTAGCGGCAGGTCTCAGAGATGACCCTTCCTTTACAGGGATCACCCATCTAGACAGAGAACATAAAATCAGCCTTTTTGCAGACGATATCATATTAATGATCACAAATCCACAAAAATCTCTTCACACAATACGAACCCATCTTCAGTCATACTCGCAAGTCTCATATTATAAACTTAATGAAACCAAATCCTTGATTTTAAATCTCCATGTACCTACTAAAATCCAGCAATCATTAAGTAAACAATTTCCCTTTATATGGGAACAACACAGCATACCCTACCTAGGAATTAACCTCACCTCCTCGTTAGAGAAACTCTATGGGGCTAATCATAAACTTCTCCTAGATTCTATCCCACAGGAACTTAACAGTTTACGCATATCTACTCTATCCAAACTCGGGAGAATAGCGACCCTGAAAATGTGTATGCTTCCCAAAATTTTATATATATTCCGCACACTTCCTGTTCCAATCCCAAACAACTTCTTTATTAAGTTACAAACAATTTTCGCCAAATTCATGTGGAACTCAAAACGACCGAGATATACAACCAATCTCCTAATACGCCCAGTATCCAGAGGTGGTGCAGGTCTTCCACACCTCAAATCGTATTACATTGCAACCCTCCTAGACCAGGTTTATTTCTGGTGGCACCCAACCCAAGAAAAGATTTGGTCTACTATGGAAACGATTCCACTGCATTTGAACTCACCTAAAGATATCCTATTTACTCCACGTACGCAGCTAACCAATAATATATTTTGTCACCCCTGCATTCAAGCTACTATACAGGCATGGTATGATCTCATTAATTACCCCCGCGATAGACAAGATATCGCTACCCACCCCAATCACCACCCTACACCTTATAATACCTTTCTTGACTCTAACACAATGGCACCGACATGGCATTACACACTTACAACAGCTGTATACAAGAAATACCATTGATTCCTTCTCCACTTTGCAAAGTAATTTTCATCTCCCTGACTCAGAACATTTTACGTATTTAAGAATTGCACATGCTTTGCACAACACATCGACTCAAACTCTGATTAACATCCCTACTACAGCATATAATTTCCTAAACAAACCAAAATATCCGCGAAAAGGGATCTCTACTTTTTACACACTCAGTATCAACTCGCAATTCTCTCCACAAACGACTTCCCTTAGCAATTGGGAGAAACTCTTAGCTCAACGAATCCCACTCCATTCATGGGAGAAAACCTTTAATATTACCTATAAAGCCTCTCGATGTAGCTCCCACTGGGAATCCTTTTTAAAAATACTACACCAATGGTACCTGACTCCAGTTAAACTCTCCATGTACTACCCTCTACATTCCCCTCTTTGTTGGAGAAAATGCGGAGACATAGGATCAATTCTCCATATACTGTGGTCATGCAAATCCATTAGATCATATTGGAACAATGTTTTTCATTTCATTTCAACATTAACTGATGCTCCAATCGTTCCTAATCACGCCCTCGCTATTCTACATATATTGACATTGATCAGTTCCCTAAAGAGACCCGCACGATCATTGTTCACATACTAGCTGCGGCAAAAACTAATATCACTAGATTGTGGAACTCCACTAATCCCCCTTCTCTCACATCACTCATATCAGACTTAAACTTCCAATGTGACATGGAGAGGAGATCATCTCTAAATACCTCCACCTACCATAAGTTTCTATTTCAATGGGGTAGATGGCTACGAAACCCGAAATGTTCTGTAATATGCTGATTACTTACACTATTGTAACTGTATCCTGTAACACCCAAGCGATAGGTTGGTTCCAATTCCCCCCCCCCCCCCCCCCCGCCCCCCCCCCCCCCCCCCCCCCCCCCCCCCCCCCCCCCCCCCCCCCCCCCCCCCTGCCCCCACCCCCCCTTCCCCATATCCCTCCCTTCCCTACTATATATCCTACTATATGTTCTAGTTCGCTGTTTTTCCTATTTCCTCTTATATCCTAACGCACTTATGTTTGCGGCTCTTAAAGTGTTATTATGTTTGCTTTGAATGCAATATTAGAAACCATACCCCGGCCTGATGGCGGGGTATTTATCTTGCTTGTTAACTTGTCATGTTGATTGAACCGCAAATCTATGCTATGTAAAACCGCAAAATGTTTAATAAAAATTATTTGAACATAAATGTTTTACGGACGAATACCATACTGATTAGACAAAAATCATTCATGTTTATCCCTTTGGAAAATTGTGCATGAACTGTCGTAATCGGCTCTCGAAAAATGTGTACTAATGATCAGATTATTGGGCGATCAATCCAAAAACATTTTTTTGGTCCGATTTTCTCATGTGTACTGAGTATTAGGGTTTTCCCCCATACTACCCCACACTTCCAGGTGTGAAATATTGAGTCACCCGCTAGATGCTGTTTTCCTCCTGGTGACACCTGCATCACCACTGTGTCATGCAGTGACTAAGGTCAGCAAGATGAACCACGGCAGCCAATGGACGGGACATTCTTTTCAACACACCAAAGATGTGAGGTGGTATCAGCATATGGGAGTCTACAAAACAGCAATGTGACCATCAGACTGATGAGGATTGATAAGTACAACCCTACTTCTTTTTCAGGATATTGCTGGTTTAATTTTCTAACCCCTTCAAAGAGTTATCTTAAAGTGACTTAACACCACATGGACTCTGGGCATTTAGCCCCAGGTGCAACCAACCCTGCCATTTTCATGCACAAGTGGAGTGTCTGGTCCCATCCAACTGCAGAGTATTTCAGGCAAACAAAATACCAGGATTGGACACACATGAGCTAAACGTCATGTGAGCATTATTATTATTATACAGTATTTATATAGCGCCAAAAAGGTTTGCTCAGCGCTGTACATTATTGTGGGGGACAGAACATGAGACAAGACAGTAACAATACAATACATGAGGGGTTCGAGGGCCCTGCTCTTTCAAACTTACAATCTAGGAGGGAGGGAATAGTGGTACAGGAGGAAGTGGCTGTGGGGGATGGGGTGGTAGGAGGAGTGGAGGAGATCGGCTGTTAGGTGAGGGTGGGGTAGGCTTCCCAGAAGAGATGGGTTTTCAGGGTGCACCTAAAGGTGAGGAGGGTAGGTGACAGTCTGATGGATTGGGGTAGTGGGTTCCAGAGGATGGGGGAAGTCCTGGAGAAGTCCTGCAGTCGGGCATGGGAGGAGGAGATCAGGGAGCTAGAAAATAGGAGGTCTTGTGAGGAGCGAAGAGTACGGGTAGGGTGGTATTTGGGTATCAGGACGGTGAGGTAGTTTGGGGCGGCGTTATGAATGGCTTTGTATGTCAGTGTTAGTAGTTTGAATTTAATGCGTTGGACAATCGGGAGCCAGTGGAGGAATGACAGAGGGAGGTGGCGGATACGGAGCGGTTGGTAAGGTGGATGAGTCTGGCCATTGAGTTCAGGGTAGACTGAAGCGGGGATAGTCTGTGATGAGGTCGGTCGGTGAGAAGGGAGTTGCAGTAGTCCAGACGTGAGATAATAAGGGAGTGAACGAGTTGTTTAGTAGTGTCTGGGGTTAGGAACGAACGTATTTTGGGGATGTTGCGGAGATGGAGTCTGCATGAGTTTGCCAACCATTGGACATGGGGTTGGAAGGACAGGTTTGAGTGTAGAGTGACCCAGCATGTGGTCTTAAGTCACTTTAACCACTTCCCTGCTGCCCTATAGCAGAAATACTGCCAAAGGGCGGCAGGGTTGCGCAAAATCACATATTTCTATATGTGATTTTGCCCCGCCACTTGTGGCCTCGGATGTCGATCATCGTGTCCCGGCCAGTGATTCCCCTCCGGCACCCGGCTGAGTATCACTGATGGGAAAGACCTTTGTGTAAATAACACCGGTATCTCTCCTGTCAGCTCCTGCACACTGGCTTGTATGGCTCTGCATAGCATAGCCATACAAAGCAGTGTGCTTACAGTGTAAAATACACACAAAGCACACAGTAAAACACACACAGTTAACCCTTTGATCACCCCAAATGTTAACCCCTTCCTGCCCAGTGTCATTAGTACAGTGTCAGTGCTTTTTATTAGCACTGATCACTGCTTTGGTGTCACTGGGGATGTCAGTGACACCAAGTCAGTTCCCCCCCAGTGTCAGAATGCCCGCCACAGTCTCACAGTCCTGCTATAAGTTGCTGATCACCACCATTACCAGTAAAAGAAAAAAATTGCAGTATATATAGCGCCATTTGTAAAAGCTGTAACTTTCATGTAAACCAATTAATTTGCACATATTGGGATTTTTAAAAATTTTTTACTGGACATGTGTAATAGGAAAATATAAAAAAAATATAGTTTTTTGTTTCAAAACTGTCGGTATTTTTGTGTATAGTGCAAACAATAAAAAAACGCAGAGGCGATCAAATACCACCAAAAGAAAACTCTATTTGTGGGGAAAAAGAGACATAAATTTTACTTGGGTGCAGTGTTGCATGACCGTGCAATTGTCAGGTAGCGTAACGTAGCTCCGTGGCGCAAAAAATGGCCTGGTCAGGAAGGGGGGTACATCCTCTGGAGGGCGAGGGGTTAAGGTAACTCTTTAAGAGTATTAGAAAAATAAACCAGCAAGAGGCAAGATTATACTTATAGGTTCTTATTAGTCTGCTGGCAGCTTCATAGTGAAATATTCTGTGCACAAACCCCTCCTATGGTATACTAAAGTGAGTCAGAACTGTATCTAGAATTAAAAAAACTGCTTTATTTTAGAGACAAATCTATCCATTTTTGTCACCATATTCTTGTAGAAGCTGCGAAAGAAAGGTAGAAAAAAATGATTTATTTTACAAAAATGTAGAAACATACCATGTAGTTTATGTTGAGTCTTTGCTGTTGGTCTGGTCAATGATTTACATATAAACTGCTCAAATCATGAGCACAAGATGCATGCTGGATAAAATAAGTAAAATAAAATGTGTCCTAGTCTGAGGTCACCATTTATATATATTGTTTTAGGTCTCCTTGTAACAGTCAGAATAACTGATAAATAGAGCCACACATGACCAAGCCTCTCAGGGAGCCAATTAAAAACAATATACTGTAATACCCATGTGTTTGAGGAATCCTGGCACTGATGTTTGTTATTTTACAACAAAGTTTTTTAAAAAAAATAAAATTTAAAAATTAAACTTCTTAAAAACACACAAAATCAAACACATTTTTTTGTAAATAACACATTTGAAGTGGTTGAGTCATCTAAGTAACAACACATGGGGTCCAATATCAAATAACAGGATCCTTTGCAGCACATTGAGGAGAGGGAAGAGGGGAAATGTTACACATTTTAGGTCTTGTCTGGTGCTTAACCTCTTCATGCCGTCTGCACACAAATGTGCGACCTCCCAACGTCTGGGCCTAGATGCCGAGCGGCCCGCACATTTGCGTTCAATTTAAAAAAAAAAAAAAATGTGCTGAGAGCGCGCTCCCAGCACACATGTCCGGTACTCACGGAAAGGTCCCGGTCTTCTCTTTCGATCGGGACCTTTCCCGATCATGTGACCGTCACGGCAGTCACATGATCCCTAAACCCCGCCCATCCCGCCTCCTGGCTTCTGAAACTCTTTAAGGGCCGGGAGGCACCGGCATGAAGGGGTTAAAACCTTTTGAAAGCTTTCCACATTTTTCTGGGCTTGCCAGTCCATTGCACCCTTTTGGAGAGAGGTGGTGCCATGGCTGGGATTCGAACCAATGACCCTTGTACTGCCAGGTGGAAGTGCTAACCATTTATACACTGTGCTGCCTCGAAATTATGTTATATCTATGCTGTTCCTACTCTCCAGTTCCTTAGAGCAGTATTTTTTGCTTTTCCTGCCAGGTAGTCCTGGATTGATTCAGCTTGGTGTTGATGCCACTCACTGAGTCCCACCAAATTTAACTGGTACCTATTTCTATATATCCCTATTTTCTTTTATAGGTGGCCTAGTAGCTTTGTGTTCATCTCCGCATTAAGTCTCTCAGCAGTCAGCCCAATCACATGCGCCTATGCCCAATCACCTGCGCATCTGCCCAGTTTGTGATAACTCTGCACATTTGCATATTTGTGCACGTATTTGTGCGCTGCGGATCTTCACCTGCACTATGGGCAGGCCTTTCCTGACAATAACATATGACCTATTCCACCAAAAGGTCCTCCAGACCTTCAGAGGTCCAATACAAGTCTGTAACACATCCTACAAAGCCCAACTATGTCCATACCTGTGCCCCCACTGATACACACTGTGCTAGTTTATCCACAGCAACTGACATATGAGACTTCTGTATGGGTAACATATTGTGACTGTGTTACTAAAGCTGGTTGCACACTGAACAAATTTCAGATCATTCCTGATGAACTGCTCCATTCAACAAAAGTTAATAGTTTAATTTGTTTTGTTGAAATAAAGCTGGAACATTTTTGGTTGAAGAGAAGCTCCATGCGATCAGATGACCCTCATCCGTTGACTTACCAGTTTCTAGAAGAGGTGCCATTGAAGGTTACATGATGGTGGTAAATAAGTGGGCTAGTAGTATAATGTTTATTGTGAATTTTCATCTGGAGGATCTTTTAAGGCTAGCTTGGTGAGACCCTGAAAACAGATCCTTGATCTACACCCCTTGGAATCAAATTAGTCATTTTTATATGATTTTTTTTTAATAATCGTAAAATAAACAAGAATTATGCAGGCCATAGATGGGGAGAAAAACGGCAGATTTTTCTTTTAAAAAACGAAAATTCGGTCGTTCAAGCGGCCGACGTTGCCATCAATGGTAAAAAAATCGGCCGATTTTCATCCCTTCTACAGCCAGCAAAAAGTGTCCCTGAAGAGAGCTACGCTATTTCTGACAGTTCTCTGACAGTTCCTTGACATGTACAGCGGTTGAAACATTGTATCTATTTATTTCCATTTAGGATACAGATGTTTTTATTCGGAAACAAATAGATACAATGTTTCAACCGCTGTAAATGTCAAGGAACTGTCAGAGAACTGTCAGAAATAGCGGAGCTCTCTGCAGATACACTTTTTGCTGGACTGGAATTATTCTTATTTTCATCTTACTTCTTCTTCTTCTTCTTCTTCATCCTCATCCTCTTCTTCTTCTTCTTCTTCATCCTCATCCTCTTCTTCTTCTTCTTCATCCTCATCCTCTTCTTCACCCTCATCCTCTTCTTCATCCTCATCCTCATCTTCTTCATCCTCATCCTCTTCTTCTTCATCCTCATCCTCTTCTTCTTCTTCTTTTTCATCCTCATCCTCTTCTTCATCCTCATCCTCTTCTTCTTCATCATCATCATCCTCTTCTTCTTCATCATCCTCTTCTTCTTCATCCTCATCCTCTTCTTCTTCTTCATCCTCATCCTCTTCTTCTTCATCCTCTTCTTCTTCTTCCTCTTCTTCTTCTTCATCCTCATCCTCTTCTTCTTCTTCTTCTTCTTCATCCTCATCCTCTTCTTCTTCTTCTTCTTCTTCTTCTTCATCCTCATCCTCTTCTTCTTCATCATCATCCTCCTCCTCCTCCTCTTCTTCTTCTTCTTCTTCTTCTTCTTCATCCTCATCCTCTTCTTCATCCTCATCCTCTTCTTCATCCTCATCCTCTTCTTCATCATCATCATCATCCTCTTCTTCTTCATCATCCTCTTCTTCTTCTTCTTCTTCTTCTTCTCATCCTCATCCTCTTCTTCTTCTTCTTCATCCTCATCCTCTTCTTCTTCATCCTCATCCTCTTCTTCTTCATCCTCATCCTCTTCTTCTTCATCCTCTTCTTCATCCTCTTCTTCATCCTCCTCTTCTTTTTCTTCTTTTTGTCTTCCTCTTGCAGGTCACTGCTCATGCGCAGTTTTTTTATCGGTAAAAAATCGGCCGATTCGCCCACTAATTGCCGCGAAAATCAGCCGATCGGCAAAATCGGCCGATTTTTTTCCAACTTTACCGAAAAAAAAAAAAACGGCCAAAATACCGAAAATCGGCCGACCAAATCGCCCACTAACGATCCGAAAATCGGCCGATTTTATTTTCGGCCGAAAAATCGGCCGATTTTCGACCCATCTATGGCCTGCATTATAAACCATTTTTTTGTAACAGAAAAAAATGAATGTGGTGAAAATAAACAAGTTAAAGTGGTGAGTAATGTTATGAGCAAATTATCCAAACAAATATAAATTATAATTTTATTCTAATACATTTAAATACAAAAAAATGTTTCAGTGGAATACCTATTATGATTGGTCCCCAGTGAAACAGCCATTTGAGGATTTGCCAATGTATGAGTTCATCTATAAATTTCCATTCCAATTGAAATACCCGGTAGAATGTGTCCATGTAACAGCCCTTGACTAATATTTTCAAAATGTACGGATGATATAAGACCACTCTATATTGCTGGCTATCATTTTGCATTTTTTTCATACTTTTTTTCTTCAATGTCTATAACAATACACAGTGGCATTTGGTAATCCAGCATTCAAAAACTCCAGAAATATACATGCAGACTTTTTATACACTATATGGCAAAGGTTTTGGACACCTGACCATCCTAAATATAAAAGCTTGTTGGAAAACCCATTCCAAAATCATGGACATTCATGGTTAAAACAGCCTCAATCTCTTCATCATTATAACAGCCACTCTTCTGGAAAAGATTTCCTCAGGATTTTGTAGTGTGTCTGTGGGCATTTGTGCCCATTTGTGAGGTAAGGTACAAATATTGGAATAGAAGACCTGGCTCACAATGGGCATTCCAATTCATCTTAAAGGTTCCCAGTAGAGTTGAGCTCAAGGCTCTGTGTAGGCCACTTGAGTTCCTCCACACTAAACTTGCCATACCATGTTCTGTCATCGACCTGGTTTTGTGCACCTAAAGTCAATTATTTTTGAGGGGTGTCCCGTACTTTTAACCTTATGATATTAAATTGCCTATAAACTTTGTATATTTTTAAAGTTTGGGGGTTTTTTTGTTTTTTTTATTTGAATGAAAGGTGTCAGAGCAGAAACCTGCGGGTGCTGATGTTCTTCTGAGAACGGCAGTTGCCATTATTTAGCCTCATCCTCACAATGAGCAAACTGATATTCTTGAATCATTATTCTTGGCAAATGCTCCAGATAGCTGGAGATAAGTTTCCTGACATTTTATCAGTGACAAAATAATTCTTACACTTTTACCCCAA